TGTTTGCACGGTGAGGACGGGCGTTGTCATCCATAAACACAAATTGTGCGCCCATGGCGCCCCGAAACAAACGTACATGTTGTTCCAGAATGACGTCCCGATAGATTTGACTTGTCATGATTCCAATTTGAACATGCAGGTCATTTCTGGAACTCAGAATAATTCCACCCCAAACGAGCACTCCTGCACGACCGTAACGGTGTCGTTCAATGATGTTTTCTTGGTGGTAACGGGTAACTGGATCTCTCCATATGAAAGTCCGGCGAGAATCAGCCTGCAAGCTAAACCTGGACTCGTCGGAAAACATCACACAAGCCCACTGTTGCGGTGTCCACAATGCTCTCTACTCCAGGCTAACCGCAGGCGACAGTGAGTTGCAGTAAGTGGAACGCATCTGACAGGTCTACGAGCATATAGACCAATCTGCCCTAAGCGTCTGTACACGGTCTGCCTTGAAATTGTCGTACCAGTGGCTGAAGAGAGCTAACGAGACCGGTCTGAGGCTGTGCTCCGCCTGTTTCTTTTGGCAGTAACTGCCAAATACCGGTCCTCATTCGGCGTTGTAACTCTGGGGCGACCTGTGCTGTAACGTCTACTCACATTACCATCATCTTGGAATCGTTGCCAAAGCCTGTAAATGACACTCTGGGCAATTCCAAGTTCGTCTGATACTTCCAGTTGGGTACGCCCACATTCCAGACGGCCGATAATTCTACCACGTAAAAAATCATCCAAATGCGTCCTTTGTGTCATAACTATTCGGTTATTGCACTCAAATGCTTATAAAGCGCCTGCGAACAATTTTACTTCTTTTTCTGTATTCCTTATATATCACTCTCTTACACTCTCGTCATTGTGACGTACCATCGGTGTCATCTGGTTACTTCCTGAAATTTGCATATGATTCTTGAAGATGTGTGTAGTGATTTTACAGGTGATATATTTATTTTAGAGTTCGATTTTCGCGTGACTCCGAATTATCCTTAATTTATGGACATCAGTGTACTTTACTGTGACTCAATAATCTCAAATAGTCTAATTAATTCCTAAAACCGATGACTTAACTTTGAATGATATTGTTACGAAATGTGCAGCTGCGGTAAGATAGCTTTGTTTAGATAAGCGTAAGATAATTATATTTATTTATTTAGATAAGGTAAGATAGCGAATTTAAGAAATTCAGTGGTGATGTTAAGGAATGATTCGGCTTCTGGAATCGGTTTAGCAAAATTCACGATGAACTAGAAATTCCACCTGAAGATAAATTTCAATATTTACTTCAAACCATTGTTGAACCACTTTATTCGCAAAAAAATGCCGCGGCAGATATTGCAGAGTGATGTGCAATGGAGAAAAACTGAAGGAATATAAAGAGCAAAGGAAAATACTTCGGAAGCAAAAGAAGATGTGATTAGTGATAGTAATAGAACATGTACGCGTAAAGTCCTTTTACAGATGTTGTATGTGAGATTGCGGGGTAGAAATGAAAAAATAATTCGTGGAAATGGTACAAAAGGAGGAAAAATAATTCGTGCACTCAATTGATACATCCTTGAGGACCAACATAAGCAGCGGCTTACTAACTGCATATAGCCCTGCGGTTCTCAACCGGTGGAATGCGTACCACTGATAGTACACAAGAGAGGTGGTAAGCAAAGTATGTTTAACAATTAAATTCAAAAATTAAAACTCCAACATCCTGGTGGAGGTTTTCTGTAAAACTCGTAAGTTTATGCGATTTGAGCTTTGTTCAAGAGTGGTGGTAGTAGAACTTTGTAGTGGTGGTACTAAAGGTTTTCAATTTTTGTTTAGATGTACGCGTTATTCAAAAGGTTGAGAACCACTGAACTAGCGGCTCATAACCTTCTCCGTAACAAGGCACAAGTAAAAACTTAAAAGAATTATACACTTTTATTAACAGGTATCAGATAATCCGAACCTTTATAATATGAAAGCCTACTTCTTATGCTTTGTTTCTTAAATTTAAACCGATGGTCTGTGATTAACCGTTTATAAAAAAATAGGTCGATTTACTCCATAAATGTGCTGCATAAAAGTGTCCACACGTTTATAAATGCTGCTTTTTACAAGTTAAAAACTGATCTTATAAGAGTGCGAACAACGTTATGCCAAAATACTTTTATAAAGTTTTCTGCCTTTTTCTGCAAGGGCCGACTTGCATAAAATTGCAGGTACAGTTATGAAAAGACACTATTTATAAGTGTCGCCCCATAACAAACAGATTTACAACCTAACAGTTTTAAATGAAACGGAAAATTTCCCCAAAACTCTGTAACGCGGTTATTCAAAAGTAAGAGGGATTACACAGAGGAAATATGGAAATACATCCCCTAAACCCTTCAAGTATTATTGATAAATATTTAATATGCATAATTTTTAAAATGATCCTTTTAAGTTATCCTAACTCAAAAATTTCCAATTTTTAACTTAAAGCATAAAAAATTCCATTGGTTTCAGGTCACAGACTAAGGCATATAAATATATCTCTCTTTCTACGATTACAAATACCTAAATTATTTTAAATACCTCTATTTACTTATACCTGCATATTATGTTTTGTGGAAAATAAGCCTTTAGAAAATAGAAAATATCATATCCAATACCGTAAAAGCACATATCCATCTAAGGGAGTAATATTCTTTCTAAAGCAAGCGCAAAACATATATCAGAAGCAATTTTATCAATTTCCTTTCCATGCGAAGCAAATTCTATGAAAGAAAAAAAGACAGAAATTGCATTTGTATGACATCGAGAAAATATACGATAGGAAATACCCGTCGGCCAAGAAAGTCCCGTCGGCCAAGAAAATTATTATGTATCCGGAAAATTGTAAACTGCTTTTTCCATATTCAGTGCCAAGAATAATCACAAATGGAAAAATTTGTCCATGGAAAATGGGACTCTTGACTTGATTGCACAGAAGGGAAATCGCAGAACTTAAGCAGGACAATTATTTGTATTTGATTGTTGTTCAGAAATTATTATTTTGAGTTAATTAAAAATGACAATTATCAGCAATAAATGCCAGCAAAACAAATTATTATAATCTGAACTAATTAACAGTTATCCGCCTTCATTCCTGAGATTAATGTGTTTTTAACAATCAGCAGAACGGTGCCATGGCAACGAGAAATGCATTCAAGACCAAGATAGAAGGACAGTGGATCAAAAGCGAAATACTGAAATGTGCGCGAAATGGGCCGGTTAGAATGATAAGTTTCAAACTTTCGAAAGTATCAAAAGCTGTTCTTCATCAAGAATGGATAGGATAGAGGGAGTAAATTTACTTAGTAAGAAAAGATGGAAAATCAAATCTTTCCTTAAATGCGTTAAATTGGGGAAGTCAGTGAGGTAAACTACCGCTGTGAAAGATAAAGACTCAAAGCCACAATGTAAAATAAAAATGAAAAGAAACAAAACTTTGAATGATCGCCAATTTGTTAATGTCAATTTTCTCGGCATTTTCTTGCCGATATGCTAAAACTGACACGTGATTGCAGTAACAAATCCTACGCAGATGTAGAACATCCTTTGGTCGCAATGGCATCTACTCGTCTTCTCAACACTTATCAAACTCCACGAAACCTTGGTAGCTTTAGGCATTACTTTGAAAGTGGCTTCCACAGTAAAACTGCAGTATTCCGAAACAATTTCCAATGAACTTATGATTAACATCACATCCTAGTTTAAAACTATGCCATACATTTGTTTAACCCTTAGATAACGGAAGCTTTCACTGACCTGCATGATTCAAATATCGAAACGCTCGTTACAGTCCATTACCCGTTTTGTCTGTTTCCTCCCCTCCCCGTCCATTAACGCACAATGAGGTCTGAAGATTTCAAATGTCATCCTCTTTACTTCCTAACAAAGAAGCTTCCATTAGTCTTTTAGGGCAAGCTATCTGCAATAAACTGTTGCAACGTGGGTGAACTGCATCTGCTATTCTATACCTTAGGAGAAGGGAAGAAACAACATCGCAATCTCGGCTGTTTCGTCGGTTGTGGTCGTTTGAATGAAAGGCTGTCTCGGGCATTTTCGCCTTCAAAGAGTTAAACCTTTGGTCGGAGTGGCATCGTGATGAGACAGGGAACGTAGGAAAGAAATTAACATGCGAGTTCTTAATGTTTAATTTTTGGAGGAATGAGATGGAAAAAGAAAAGTCTACCCGTCGATTGGTAGCTGTAAGTTTACTACTTTAACAGAAATAGAAATTATGCTTGTATATGAATATCTGTAAATGAATATAAATTATCGTAAATTTGACTGCCAAAAGTGAATTGCGTGATTAAATTTAGAAAATTTTAGAACTAAGAAACAGAAAGAGATATCATTGGTTAATTTCTTGATGTACAGAATTTTTCTTCTGCAATTGAGTAAATAAAAAGATTTTTTCCCTCAAAATTTGCTATCTTAAAATATTATTTTGCTAATTATACAAAAAAGCAGTTATGCCAAATTAAAAAAAAAAAAAGACACAAAAATTCGAAATTTTAAGACTTATTTCTGCACTAATGTAATAACTGAGCAGACCAAAACAAAATAGAAACCAAAATATTTCTGCTCAGACCAAAATAGAACCCCCTTCCCCCCAAAAAAAAAGAAAAAAGAAACCAAAATATTTCTACTCAGTTATTACATTAGTGCAGAAATATTTTAAAATTCCTTCCTAATTAAATTCCACATAAAATAAAAATTCACAGTTTTATTAACCTTCCGACAATTATTTCAAAACTCCTTCCCAATCAGAATAAAAATGAGAATTTTATGACAATTAAAAACTTCGTTATTATGACAGTTAAAATTTTTTCTTAATTAAATTCCATTAATTCGCGATAATCTATCCATTAATTTTCAAAAATCTCTGTTTGATGAGTAATATACTAAGCGAATATTCCGTTTATATCTCCGAATTTACCTCTATTGCGCATTTATTTATGACATTTCATGAATAAATTCAAAAATTTAAAACATATTACGTGAAATATCCTTGGATTGTTCTCGTATTCTGGTCTAGAGAACACACAGCCCATCTTTTATCTCTTGGTCTGCCGTCGCATTCTGGAAAGATAATGAGAGAGACATTAATTTTATTGGAACAATTATAGCGGATTAGTATTTATTGCATCAACATAAGCCCAATTTTAATTAAAATCAAAAACAGCTAACACTAACCTAATCAGTAATGCTAATAGCCCAATGTATATATGTTCTTAAGAAGGCTAAGTAAGAAGCGTCAGTTCCCGTAGGATAAATTAAATTGTTATCTTCAAAAGGAAAGGTTATTGTGCTCGTAATGTTTCCTTTTCCTGTGATATATTTTGGTTTACGTTTCATTTTAATCTCCACTGTAAAGATAATGGATTTTAAGAATAGATTAACTAATATAGCGATTCAACTTCAAAACGATCATATGACTAAATGCTTCTTGACAGAATCTCTCTTTTTAGAACTGCATGCAAATATTATTGTTCCATGTTGCTTTTGAATGAAATTCTAAGAGATATCGTCACGCCCTCGCATCTTATTTCCGTATCCGTAGTTTGAATTATCTAATTTATCATAATCATAAATATCTTTTTTTAAAAGTAGAGATGTATAAAAAGTTACAAAACTTGCTTCAATTAAGAACGAGCTGTAACACGATGAAATTCTGCAAGCAAAATATGCGCATTACTGGCTTCTTGTGTCAATGACGACTTTCAGCACAAGTATACATACGAAGTACGGACCAGTGTTCCAAAGCTTATACAATACACTGATGGGCCTTGAAATTGTATATGATGCTATAGTACAATGATAATATTTTTCTGCTGCTCTATTCATTGCTTGAAAATTATATTAAAGCAATATAAATAATATTATACATATACGAGTATATATTTAATAAGATGACTTGGTGAAAGAAAGTTGCAACGGATTGACAATGGTTCTCTGCATTATAACTTGAAGAGTCTCTATTGCACGGTTAGAAAGATGACACTCGAAGACAGACATGCAATAGAAACAAATTCAGAAGTAATAAACAGCAGAAATTTTGATGGCGTAGAAACAGCAAGAAATTTTGATAGCACATTTCTACACAAACTTTTCAACCTTTGTTTACAATTAGCAGTTTTTCCAGCACAATGGAAGAGAGCTCGGGTTGTTTTGATTCCTAAAACGTTAGATACAAGAACCCCTTATCTTGATAATATTAGATGCATTAGTCTTATGCCTACTTTGGGAAAATGTCTTGAAACTCTCTTCATTAACAGAATAAATTGGTATTTGAGACAAAAATGCTTTTATAATGATTCTCAGTTCGGATTTACTCCTCGGAAGTCCGCTGAAGACGCCATTATTCGCCTTTGTATATCTTGCAGTGTGCAAAGAAAATGAAGTATACTACACTTCTTATTTTCCTGGATTTCAAAGGAGCTTTTGATAATGCTTGGTGGCCATCTATCTTAAAAATTTTAAAGAATGCTGGTATAAACCACATAATATCTATAACCTTCTCAAAAGCTTCTTGTGAACGAGAGGACTGCTGAGCTTCAGCTTGGGAACGAAGCTAAGGTTTATCTCTAGAAAAAGGCTGTCCTCAAGGCTCTGTATCCGGACCTACTCTTTGGAACATAATCATAAATGATCTTTTAAGTCATCTCGACGGTTGTTTAAAAATTGCGTTTGCAGACGACTTACTATTAATTTTCCAAGGAAGGATTTTGAATAACATTCTTTTGAGAGCACAAGAAGTTCTAGATTTTGTCTCCAGTTGTTTCTCATAAACTCACTTTCAATCCTTCAAAAAGTAAAGTTATGCTTGTTCCCAGTACGTTTGATGAACAAAATATTGCTTCTTTGATGCTCGATAATTCTCCGTTGGAATTTGTAGAAAATGTTAAATATCTTGGTGTCATTCTTGACCAAAAATTAACATGGAAAAAGCACATTGAATTCCTTTCTGCTAAATGTGAAAAAAATTATTAATGGCTTTCACCGAATTGCCAAAAATACTTTTGGAGTAAGCTACGATGTTAAGAAACTCATGTATAAGCAGTGTATTGTACCTTTCATTTCGTACGGCTGTCGTGCTTGGGGACATGTTTCTTGCCAAGAAGGTTAACAAAAGAAATTTAAGAAAGATTCAACGGAGATTCTTCTTCGTATTATTAGTGGTTATAGAACCTTAAGCTATGAGGCTACTTTTGTTCTTGCAGGAGTTCCGCCTATTGATTTTGAATTGAATTGCATAAGAATAATATTTTTGAGTCATTGGCAACTCATGCTTCGGAAGACTGTAATTAATGGAATTGTCCCCTTCACTGATCTTCCTCATCCCGCTTCTTTAGAACCCATAAATTTCTGTGATTATAAAGAGACTGCTGAAATAAATTTTCATATGGTTTTCTTTACAGATGGCAGCAAGATGAACAACAAGGTTGGCCTTGCATTTGTTCTTTTTGAAGGCAATTCCGAGATTTGTTTTCTTAGACACCGTATACGGAATGAATGTACAGTTTTTCAAGCAGAACTTCTGTGCATTTATCTTGCCGTCAAGTGGATCCAGGATCATGGGACAGCATCCTCAAAGTACCTTATTTGTTCTGATTCTCTTTCTTCTCTTCAACTTTTGAACAGTATTACCAGCTGCGATAAATTAGTTATCGAAACCCTAGTAACTGTTAGTTCACTTAGAATTAGAGGTATTGATATCTGCTTTGCTTATGTGCGTGCTCATCATGGTTTCTACGGAAATAAGGAGCTGATTTCTTAGCTAAAGATGCCTTAAATTTACCCATTGATATCAACATTAGCATTCCAAAGAGTTATTGGAAGTCCTTTCATTATAAAAAGCTTTTAGCTATGTGGAATGAGGAATACATTTCATCTTGTAATGCGGAAGTCACCAAAAAGTTCCTTCCTTCTATTTACCATAGACTGAATTCCGAGTCTTTCCTCTCGTTAAATTTTAAAGTGTCTCAGTTTTTATCTGGGTCACGGTAAATTTCCAAGTTTATCTGTTTTCATTTTAATCTACGATCAAACAATTTATGTGAATGTTCAAAAAGAGTTCCTCAGGATGTGGAACATTTGATTTTCTCGTGCCCTACATTTGATGGCCCTAGATTATGCTTCTTACAGAACGATTTGAAAATGTTCGGAGTGACTTGGCCAGTGAACTTATCTGTTTTCGTGAAGTCCAGACTGCTGTTCTCTGCTTTTGTTCGCTTTATTTATGCATGTAATTTTTAATGTTTATTTATACATGTAACCTTTAATGTTCTAGTTAACTTACTTCTGTAAGCCCCGTGTTGTACATATGTGGTGCACGGGGAGTCTGTATGTTCTCAAAGGAAAAAAAAAAAAAAAAAAAAAAAAAAAACATCTTGTGGCCACAAACAAACTAGCACATTATTTGTGTCTATTTTTTAAGAGGTTTACTTTTTTGATAACTTTGCAGCATGCAGCAGACAGCAGTCCATCTAGCCCGAAGAGTAGCGAGCAAGTGTGTTACGTTCAAGTGTTCAATCTGAATTCAGACTGAGTTAGTTTTGGTTCTCAATGAATTTGATTGTCTAATTAGTACTGCTGTAAAATTGTTATTGGCTGTTTGAGTTCTAGTTCCATTTACATCATCAGAATTATGTAAGAGTCATATGACATGGATTAATCTCGAAATGAAGCAGTGCAAATAGAGATTACTATTTTTAGAATACAGAGAGGAAATTAATTTACGTTGCTAATTTAAATTATAATTTATCTTTTACATATTTTATTTTTCTTAATGTGTAAGATAAAAAATATGAATGCAAACTTCTAATTTTAATTGGCCATAACCTCTTTTATTTTTATTTAATTTGGCGACTTCCTCTCGCTATCTTAAAAACAGCGCTATAAGTCTAAACTGTGTCATGCAATCCTAATGTACGCTTAATGGCAACCATGTATGTGCAGTTCTTAAAAACGGGGCAAGCAGTGGGTGATTCTGCACTTTCTCCCAATTTCGCACCTAATCTTCTTCATGATTAGAATTTTTGTTCCATAAAAGTTCTGGCGTAATTCGGCTAGTAGATTGTTGGAAAAAAATGTTGAGTAAAAAAAAAAAAAATGCCTTTACTTCATGAAAACAAAATGGCGTCCAAAACAAAACTAGCAGGTTGCTGTAGCAGGGTTGGTCGCCAAAAAATAGCCAAGTTACCATAATCCGAAGATTAACCCTAAGATGTAGGCTCGTCCTTATGTGAACCAAATATTGCGAATCCAGAATTGCTTTCCTCAATAACAAAATTATCTTGAATCCGGCCATGTCTGTCTTGCAAAGTCTAGGCATCTATTACGCCACCACCAAGTTCCCAAATCAGCCATATCGTGCCATATATATATATATATATATATATATATATTTGTAATGAATATATATGCATTTATTTATAATATATCATTTATATGTATTACATATAGACAAAAAGTAAGAAATTTAGAACCTATTTCACACAAAGACCCAAAAAAGTAAAATTTAAAACCAAATACATTTCAAAATATCCTGAAAATATACAAAGACAATTAATTAAAGAAATGCGTAATTAAAACTTAAAAATTATAACCTGAAAACATATACCAAAACCAGAAAAAGTAAATAAAGAAGAGGAATTCAATTAAGTCTGATGTAACGTTATCAGGAGGAGGATACATCAGACTCAATTATATACATATTTATTAATTATAAATTTCAAAAAGAGCTAGAAAAGAAGAAGGAAAAGAAGTAAAACAGTATCATTTATCTCAAAAAATTGTTGCCTGCTTAAACGTTTTAAATTTTTATGTTAGGTTACAATTTTCTGATTATGTATACATAAAACCACTATTTTATTTTCACCCCACCTTAAAAGTATCCCACTACCTAAAGCTGCTCTAAAATCAATAAAGGTATTAAAATAACATAAGTTTTAAGAAAACTTTATTGAAGAATTCAAGTAGATAATTTTACAAATATTACTCATTGTGTTTGAATATAAACTAATAAAAAAAGAAGAAAAATTGAGATGTTCAGATCCTAAAAAGACTGTTTTACAGTT